TTCTTTTTTCTCAAGATTGTTTTGACTATTTGGGATCCCTTGAGATTCCATAAGAATTTCAGAATAGGTCTATTTCAGCAAAAAACATCATTGGGGTTTTGAAACGGATTGCGTTGAATCTGTAGATCGCTTTGGGTAGTACTGTCATCTTAACGACATTAAGTCTTCCAATCCATAAACACAGAAACTCTATTTATGACTTCCTTAATTTCTTGAAGCAAAGTTTTGTGGTTTTTAGTGCACAAGTCTTTCACCTCCTTGGTTAAATTTATTCCTAAGTATTTTGTTCTTTTTGATGCATTCTAAATGGAATTGTTTTCTTAATTTCCTTTCCAGATTGTTGTTAGTGTATAGAAATGCAATTGGTTTTGTGTGTTGATTTTGTATCCTGCAACTTTGCTGTATTTATTAACTCCTAGCAGTTTTTTGGAATCTTTAGGGTTTTCTACATATAAGATCATATAATTTGTGAACAGTGGTAATTTTACTTCTTTCCTTCCAATCTGAATATCCTTTGTTTCTTTCTCTTGCCTAATTGCTCTGGCTAGGACTTCTAGAATCATCTTGAATAGAAGTCGTGAAAATAGGCATCCTTGTCTTGTTCCTAATCTTGGGGGAAAGCTTTCAGTCTTTTACCATTGACTATAATGTTAGGTGTGGGTTTTTCGTAAATGGCCTTTATCATGTTAAGGAAATTTCCTTCTATTCCTAGTTATTGATTTTTCTCATGAAAGGAAGTTACATTTTGTCAAATGCTTTTACTGCATAGAGATGATCACTATTCCTTCTTGAATCTAATCCAGTAAGGCTCTTGCCCTGTCACTCCTCAAAGTTGCTCTTATCAATGTTATCTCTTTGCTAATCCAAAGCCATTTCTCAATCTTCAATTTACCTGACTGTTCGGCAGCTTTAGCCTGGGTGATCACTGCCTTTTTCTGGAGATGATTCCAGGACACCACACTTGCAAATGACCACACTGGCTATTTCCTCTTACTTACCTTGCTGGTTCTTTCACATCTCCCAGACTTCTAAACATTGGAGTGCCCAGTTCAGTCCTTGGACATCTTCTCTCTAGAAGATGTCATCTAGTCTCATGGCTTCAAATACCATCTCTATGCTGATGACTCCCAGACATCTCCTTGAGCTTCTGAGCCCTATGTCCTATTGGTTACTGCCTACCCAACACTTTCACCTGGATATATTATTACAGGGATCATAATTAACAGGTTCAAAACTGAGCTGTTGATATTCCTGCTCAATCAGGCTCCTCTTCCAGTCTTCTTCACTCCATTATTGACATCTTCATTCTTCAAGCTGCTCAGGCAAAACTATGGATTCATTATTGACCTCTCTTTCTCTCACACCCACATCCAAGGCATCAGCAAATCCTGTTGGCTCTGCCTTTAAAATGCATTATTTAGTCCATTACTTCTTGTCACCTTCACTGCTACCAGAGCCTCCCTCTCCTCTCATTTGGATGGCTGCAGTGGCCCCTTAAAAGGTCTTCCTGCTTCTGCTCTAGCCTTCCACAGTGTGTTCTCAGTACAAGAGTGATCCCTTCAGAGTATCAGTCAGATTAGCTCTCTTCTGCACCCTCAGAGTAAAAGTCAAAGTCCTTTTAATGGTCTGCAACAGACCCTGCATTATCTGGCCCCTGTCACATTCTGATCTGGTAATGGATTTTTGGATATGCATCAAATGAAAAACCAAACAAACATAAAGGAAAAATAGACAAATTGAATTTCATCAAAATAAAAAAATTGTGCTCTTCAAGAGACATCACTGAGAAAATAAAAAGACAACCCATAGAATGGGAGAAAATATTTGCAAATCATATACCTGAAAAGTAACTTCTATCCAGAATACCAAAAGAACCTTTATAACTCATTAACAAAAATATAATCCAGTTTTAAAATGGGTAAATGCTTTAAATAGAATTTCCCCAAAGAAATTCCATTTAAGAATATACAAATAACCAACAAGCACAGAAAAGATGCTTGACACCATTAGTCATTTTGAAATGGAAATCAAAACCACGAGATTCCACTAGACTGGCAGGACAATAACAGTGTTGGCAAGGATGTGAAGAAACGGGAACACTCATACTCTGATGGTTACAATGTAAAATGGTGCAACTGCCCTGGAAACAGTCTGGAAGTTCCTTAAAAAATTAAATATAGTTATCATATCATGTCATAGTTATGTCAGCAATTCCATTCCTAGGTACATACCCAATAGAATTAAAAACATGTTCACACAAAAATGTGTACACAATTGTTCAAAGCAGCATTATTCTAATAGCCAGAAAAGGGAAACAATCCAAATGTCTATCAAACGATGAATGGATAATGTGGTAGATACACACAATGGAGTATTATTGTCATAAAAAGGAATAACTGATTCATGCTACAACATGAATGAGCCTTGAAAACACTATGCTAAGTGAAAAAAGACCCAAAAGGCCATATATTGATGTTGTATAATCCATTTATATGAACTGTCCAGAATAGGCAAATCTATAGACAGAAAGTGGATCCTTGATTCCCATGGGCCTGGGGGAGGGTGGAATAGAAAATGGGTATGAGAATTTCTTTTGGAGTGATAAAAAGGTTCTGGAATTAGTTAGCAGTAATGGTCGAAAACCTTGTAATTCTACTAAAATACTACTGAATTGCACACTTTTAAAAAGAGTAAGTGAAAAAATAAAATTAAACAAAAGGAATGTCCTATGAGGCCTTTGAACCTGGATGTCAAATTGCCAGCTCCAAGCAAAGTTCAATCCATCATCCAAGATGCACACCAAAAAGACAAATATTGATATAGTATTGATATAGTTTATTCTTATCAAGAGAATAAACCTGTGAAATGAGGAAAATAAATATAGTGAACATTTCCTCAACTTTTTAGATGACTATAGAGGTGTATCTTTCTGCTTTTTGAAGAATGACTGATCTTCCTTTTAGAAAAACATCTTACATCTTGTACAAATGTACATCTACAAATACATCTTGTACATCTTGTACAAATACAGGCATATTTGTTGAGTTGAGTGATAGGGTTCCACGTCAACACCAACCATCTCTATGCATTCAGCAAGTGTCTGGATGGCAGGCCAGGTCCTCTCAGGACAATGCTTGCTCCAAGATGGACTTCCTTCTGCCCTTTTCACTAACTGCCCAGGGAGGCCGACCACCAGCTGTCAGCAGTCTTCAGGTCTCGCCTTGGCTTGCGTGTCTGACCCACATGGTGAACACACCCTGGAGAGCCTTGAATATCCTTCAGCTTCTTCACTGGTAGAAAGATGGGGTCAGACTAGATCAGGGATATCAACACTAGGGCCCCTAAGAAAAGGTAGGTGGCTGGTGACCAAAGGGTTCTGAGGTTTGGGCATGCTGAGTCACAGTGTGGAACAGGCCCCTTACTGCAGGGCCTTTCTGGGCTTTAAGGTGTTGGTGTGGGAAGCAGGACAGATGTAGGGAATGAGCTGAGCCCTGTCAGATTGGGCTGACATTGTGGTTCTGGCACTCCTCAACTGTGTGATGTCAGGCAAACTATTCCACTTTCCCAAGCGTTAGTTTCCTCACCTCTAATACAGGAACAAGAGTAGCTCCATCACGAGATGGCTGGGAGGGAATGCGTCAAAGTGGAGATAAATGATTAACATTCTGTGAATTACAACTTTGCCCTGGCCCCCATGGGCGCTCAAGGGTTTTGAAGAGTAGGAGTTTGCCAGCAAGAGGTGAAGGTGAAAGGAACCCAAGGCAAGGGAAAGAGCAAGTACAAAACATGCAGGCAGGACTGGACACGGTAGACTTGAGAATGGCTGACATGCAGATGTCTGGGGGGACTCAGCATGGTGGGGATAGCGCGAGGGAAACAGGTACTAAGGAGTCATCGAGGAAGAGAACTCTTGTTGGAGTGGTGGGCTAGGACCAGATCCACATCACAAGGGGCCATGGAATGGTTTTAGTAAGCTCATTCTGTTAATTGTGCTGACCACAGTAAAGGAAGAGAGCAATGAAGGTGCTACACCGGCGAGGAGGAGGGTGTGGACAAGACCCTTCGCTCTCCTAGCCTCCTGGCCATCAGGTCCCTCTCAACTGCAGGAAATGCAAGACTTGGGGCCAGAGATCAGACTCAGGAGAGCTGAGAGGGCCCTCAGACACCCCAGGGGAGAAGTGAAGCAGGTAAGTGCCGGGCTTGAAGCTCTGTGCTGGGAAAGTGTGCAGGCAGCACACAGCCCACTTTGAACTAGGAATTACATTCACACGGTCTAAGATACAAAAAGAACAAGGAGACCAGGTGCAGCGGCTCATGCCTGTAATCCCAGCACTTTGGGAGGCCAAGGCAGGCAGATCACGAGGTCAGGAGATCGAGACCATCCTGGCTAACACAGTGAAATCCCGTCTCTACTAAAAATACAAAAAATTAGCTGGGTGTGGTGGTGGGTGCCTGTAGTCCCAGCTATTCAGGAGGCTGAGGCAGGAGAATGGCATGAACCCGGGAGGCGGAGCTTGCAGTGAGCTGAGATTGCACCACTGCCCCTCCAGCCTGGGTGACAGAGACAGACTCCGTCTCAAAAAAACAAAAACAAAAACAAAAACAAACAAACAAAAAAGAACAAGGGGATCTGAGAAAGAAAAGCAAACGACAGAAGAGCCCTAAAGGTAAACGCTGGAGGAACAGAGTGGCAGGCAAGGGAGGGACCTCTGAACTACTTTCTTTCCCTAGTAAGTAAAACAAGGTCTCCAAAGGGAGGTCAAACTTTTCTCCTTGAGAGCACCAGGAAAAATGAGCAGACCCTGTGCAGTTCAAAGAGCCTTAGGCTGTGTGATCTCAGGAAGTAACCACAAGATCAAGCTCTAGCAGGTGTCAGAGCAATGAGGCCACAAGGCTTCTGTACCTGCCTCACTCTCCTGCCTCCTTCACACCAGGATTTCAGCTCACTCTGGCTCCCTCTTACTCCAAAGGGAAGGAAAGAATTAAGACACCGTACCTGGTAGTTTTAACTTACAAAAAAAGTATTTATTCACCCAGTTTTCCTCTTCTTGCCATAATACATAAGCATGACACAGATGGCCTGATACATCAGCATGGAATTGTCAGAAGGCCCCACCAGTCACTGCTTCTAAAGTTACATGACTGGCTTTTGTTTGGCAACAGGATAATAATTACAGCGTGGTTTCAAGTACCATACACAAAGCAGACCAACCCCAGGATCTCCAGCAACTGCGAAGGCTCACTGGGGTGGGCCTGGGAGCAAGAATCCAAAGCACTGCACAGATGATCAAAACGCTTCCAGTAGAACACTGCTGTGGCTGCATCTCTCCTTACAGAGCCAGAGTTGTCCACCCTCAAGCCTGCTCCGTCAGAGGCCTGCTTCCCTTGGCTGATGGTCAGAAGGCTGCACAACTGGGTCGCCCTAGGACACAGTCCCACATGCCATCCCAAGGCTGGGCCACCATCGTGATCTTTCCAGCTAGTCCATCCAGCAAAGTGGTGCTACTGCTGCTTGTGTGGAAGGGGCTTCCAGGTGGGCGGAAGCTTCCTGTGGATCAGGGTGAGTCCGCAGAGAATGAGGAACACTCCTCCCCACCACAAGACCTCCTGGCACTCTCCATACAGCACATAGCCCAGGAAGGCCTGTGGGACAAAGACAATTGTGAGGGACTCAACTTCAGCAGGTGGGCACAACCTCACTCTCCTGGGACTAACTTCCTTCTAAGGGTGCCAGGAGGAAAGGTCTGGAGCCAGAAGCCTTGGGCTTGAAACCTACCTGTCACCTTCAAGTCACTCTATTCAATCTCACCTGCACGAATGGAGAGGCTACCTCCCTCACTGCACTGGACCTCAGCAAAGCACACAAGAAAGACCCAGTAGAGGCCAGCAGGTAGACACAGCTGGTACCTGGTATTTGTTTCTCTCTCAATTCAAGATTGACTAGGCTCAGCTCCATCTTGTCAACCTCAGATTACATAGGGAAGAAAAGTCTCTGGGAATCCCAATGCTCTAAATCTCATGGAGCCTTGAGTGCACAGAAACCTAGGAAACAGCTAGGATGCACAGTGACTTCAGAATGAGGGCTCCACCCTGGAGGCACAGCAGGCAAGCAGGCTTTTTACTGTCAGGCTTCACTCATATCTAACTTGAGAATTCCTCCATGATTAGAATTACATTTGCTTCATGAATAGAGCATCATCCAGGGGTCAAGCCACAGCCCAACCTCTGCTTCAGTTCCTGTCCTTTCTCCTGTTTGGGAAAGGAGGGGTTACCCAAAGACAACTCACCCAGAACCCAGACTTAGGATTACAGCACCACACCCTCAGGCTACTCACCGAGCTGAGGATATTTGAAAAAGTCACTGTGACAGATGCAATGGCTGAAGACATGGAGAAACTGAGGCCACGGCTAAAGAAGGTCCACATCAGAGAATTGGTGCTCGCCATCACAATAATGCCTAAGACGCATAAACCCATGCTCACCTGCAGGAGAAAGTGTCACTGCAGCCACATCCACCCTGCACAGCAACCTGCAGACCCCCTCACAGCACAGCCAGCGCTGTGGTTGCTGGCACCCAGGCTCCTACTGAGCTCCCACTACAGCTCAGAGGGCCTCAGAGCTTTTCTGCACAGGGCTTCATTTAACCCTCAGTGGGCAGCAGACCCATCTTACAAGTAAAGCAAATTCAGAGAAGACACTCATTTGGCCACCTTGCTGGCCATACGATCTTGGGAAGAAGCAAAATGCTAATCCAAAGTCAGTATTTTCTACTGACACCAGCCCCTTATTGGTCTTACAATGACCAGTGCCTGAAGATCAGTCCCAGAGGGCCAAGTAGTTCTTACTCCGTAGGTAGTATGAGTTAAGTCAGGGATGGAGTTCTTACTTCTTGAGATCAGGGAAAGCACGAATTAGCGATGTCTGCTCTGTATTCCCACCCCCAAATCCTATACAAGTTATAGCCCAGCAAGGCTCACCCCTCTGGGCATTCTTGAGCTTTTACTCTGTGTTAGGCCCTGTGCTAAGAGTTTAAGCATTCTCATTTATTCCTTAACTTCATTTTACAGATAAAGACCCAGGGGCATTAAGTAACTTTCTTAAAGTGCTACAGTGATGAGAGCCACCAGGCTTCACAATCAGGCAGTGTACCTCCATGCTCTTAACTAGGACACAGTCCTGCCTGGGGGAAACACTACCTCAGACTATTTAGTGATCCCAGACATTCCTTGGAGAACTTGCAGATATTTTTTCTTTTTTAAAGGAGAAAGTCTCAAGAAAAGAGAGGATCTTTAGAAGCCTCCTACACAAAGCATATGCAGCCCCCCTTGCTTGGTGGTGAGTTAGAAGCTGGCCTGGAGACAAGGCGAGGAGGGGAGGGTGCGGGGGGCGGAATCTAAGTATCATATTTATTACTTGTAGTGGTTTCTCAGCAGCTGAACACATAGCGTCTTGAGAAAAAGGTGCTTTCTTACAACTTACACCAGAGTGTCCAGTCTTTTGGCTTCCCGGGGCCACACTGGAAGAATTGTCTTGGGTCACACATATAATACACTAGCACTAATGATAGCTGATGAGCTAAAAACAGTACAAATAAAATCGCAAAAAAATTCATGTTTTCAGTTTACAAATTTGTGTTGGGTCGCGAGTTGGACAACCTTGTCTTACACAAAGCAGCATATGGGCCAGTGGCAACCTGCTTACATAAAGGGTTATGAAGGTCTGGTTCATGACAACAAACTTCACAGCCCATAAAAGGTTATTCATTTTACTTTCGACCACCTACCCTATGAACTACACCCAATGGGATACTAACCTCAAGCATGGCAGCTTCTACTGGATTAGCCCTAAATAGGCTTAACCCTAAATAATCAGTGACCACTGTCCAGGTCAGAGGCTAACCCTGGGCTGCAGATGCAATGAAACCCCTCTAGCAAACAGACGCTGGTCTACGACATGGGACGGGAGAGGCAGAGATACACCTTAGCAGACGCCAGGAGGCAAGTTTGGGAGTTCTCAGCGTTAGGAAAACAACCAGAACGTCTCTGTCAGTATCTGCTTATGCCTACAGTATCCCAAACTCCCAATTTTCCTGGTAGTGGGGCAGCCAGGTCATCTGGTCACAATACCCGTTAATTACGGAGTAAAGGGATGGGCAACAGGCTTCTCACCTTAAGAGTCACGTGGAGAGAAATGTTCAGGCACAAGGGACTTAAAATGAGAGGTAGAGGGTGGATGTAGGAGGTGTAGGTCTTCCCCGAGAGCGAACTAGCCCAACCGGAGAAAAGGTTTTAGGTCCCTGGTAAGGGAGGAGGCCTCAGTCCCCGACGTTTCTTACCGCCTACACTGGACGAGGGTTTGGCGTGATTAGAGGCGAAACACACTCTCCCACCCCAGCTGACCGTAGCGCCGTGCGCGGCCGGGGGCCCCAGCCGGACAGAC